GCGGCTCCTATTCAAAAGCCTGGCGGAAGAGCTCCGTCTTACAGGCCCTGCATAACTGTACTAGGTCCCGCAGAGCCCGGATCTCATCTGGGAGCTCGTTCCACCAGATAGGAGCCGCCACCGAAAACGCCCTAGCCCTGGTCATCGTAAGTTTGGTGGTCCTGGGGCCTGGAACATCCAGGAGATTTAAATTCCCCGACCGAAGTGCCCTTGGGGGAACATCTCGTGGTTTGTTGTTTAATGTACTGAAAAGTACAGAATCCCCTCTCATCCCTGGCCTGGCCTGGGTGGGCTAATCCTGTACAGAGGGGGAAGGCATTCTGCTTCCCTGCAAATCTTACCTTCTGATACAATAACATAAATCAGATCCCTCATCAGTAGATTTCAAGGGGAGGGGAGCATTTATACTGAAATCTGTAAAATCTGCATCCACCACAGTATCTCCTCTGCAATCACTTTTATTGCTCAGCGCTTTCCAATTCACACTTATTTATTTATTTATTTTGAGATTTATATTCCACCCTTCCAAGAGGCCCAGGGCGGCTAACAAGCGGCTAATGCCGGATTAAATAGATAAAATACAATGAAACAATATTACATATCCATAGTAAAATTCATAACAATATTTAAGGTGCTCTATTATCCTGTATATAAATCCCCAGGATGGACAGTAATCCCAAATCAACGGCCAGCTTTATAAAATAGCGAGAGTTCCAGCAGTTATGTTCTCCCCACTTCCGCCAGGCGACACATACCCCCCCATAATAGGGGTAGATGATGGAACAATACCACAGTGGTGGAATAGTGGCGGCAGCAGCTCCTACTCAAAAGCCTGGCGGAAGAGCTCTGTCTTGCAGAGCTCCTACTCAAAAGCCTGGCGGAAGAGCTCCGTCTTGCAGGCCCTGCGAAACTGCACAAGGTCCCGCAGGGCCTGGTTCTCCTCCGGGAGCTCATTCCACCAGATAGGAGCCGCCACAGAAAACGCCCTGGCCCTAGTTTGGGCAAACTTAATGTCTCAGGGGCCTGGAACTTCCAGGAGGTGGAGACTCCCCGATCGTAGTGCTCTTGAGGGAACATACGGGAAGTGGCGGTCCTTTAGGTAAGCTGGACCCCGGCCATTCAGGGCTTTAAAGGTAAGAACCAGCACTTTGAAGCGAATCCGGTATGCTATCGGCAGCCAGTGCAGCGCTTGCAGCACCAGCGGGATGGGGTCTCGCCTAGAGAGGCCCATCAACAGCCTAGCTGCAGCATTCTGCACTAGCTGCAGCTTCCAAATTTGCGACAAAGGCAGCCCCAAGTAGAGAGCATTACAGTAGTCTAGCCTCGAGGTGACTGTCGCATGGATCACAGTGGCCAGGTCCTCACGGTCGAGGTAGGGGACCAACTGCCGAGCCAGCCACAGATGGTAAAAGTCCGACTTGGCAGTGGCTGCCACCTGGGCCTCCATCGTTAACGAGGAGTCCAGGAGCACACCCAAACTCCTAACCTCCCACGCAGGCACCAAAGGCACCCTGTCGAAGGCCGGGAGAGGGAGCCCCAGCCCGGTCCGACTCAGGCCCAGGACCTCCGTCTTTGCCGGGTTTAATTTCAACC